TGATGCTCAAATTAAGATTTGTCAATCTTGTAAGTTCAAATAAGCATTATCTATAAAGATATTACCCAATTTAACATTTCATGTAAATAAAGGGAGGTAATTAGAAATTTATTTTCTATAAACTCTAAGTCAAATTTTCCAATAAGAAATGAATGCATGTAACTTATTGATTAAATATAATGTGCACAAATATTTGCAGTACACATTTTACATATTCTTGGATGTTTGAAAATTGTTTTATTTGCATAACTATATACATATATAATATTTTGCAAGTGTGTGATACACACACAAAATTCTTCTCCAAATCCCTCCAGAGGCGTGCACGTCGCGGAGAAGGCACACGGCAGGTCAAGGTCAAGTCATCTCAAGTACCAGAGGTGATTGGTTGACCTGTCGTGACTAACTCTGGAGGGTGGCGCTAACAAGAGCCGTTTTATGTCAACCGCCTGTTTGCAGCCGTCACGGAACTTGATGCTTTTCCGGTATTGTCTTTCCTCCACCGAACGAAGAACAGGACTTAGGAAGATCGGCATGAAAAAGACGTCCCCGATGAGACTACTAGAGTGGACCGGCATGGACGCTGAGATCTCGGACATATGGAATTTCCGGCGCCGAGCTAAAATAAACCGAAAAACAAACACATGATACACACAGTAACAATATCAATCACAAAACATACAGGATCTTTAAACTAATTCTATAATTATGATGATTAGACAGGTTATAATAGGCAAATATGAAAACAAAAGATCACATTAAGCTGCCAATAAAATAAAGCTCAAATAATTTTCATTTGGATTCAGTAAAAAACCCTTTTAGTTTTATATATTTACAGCAATCGATAAGAATAAAACTGTCCCAAAAACAAAAATATTTTTTACAAAGGGATTGCCAAATTATTCATTTTTCTAGCAATAAAATATACATTTCTAGGATAAATGTCTTTTATTTATTATTGAATATAACTTCATCCCTGTAGTAAATTTTGTATTTTGCATCCTTGCAATTTTTCCAGTTTGATATTATATCTTGACTTCGAGCATTTGTTTTCCTATACATGCATACTGCTCCAAGTATTTATGTCCAGCGTTCAACACTTTGATTTTTCTCTTTCCGTGTACATTACATGATATCGAAAAGCAAGATGACAATCCTCTTGTTAAATATAAATGAAGACTTGAGAAAGTAATCATGATGTCATGATTATAATAACATAAAATATTTTGCAAAAGACTCATCTTTGAAGACACTGTATCTTTATCTGATCATTGTTTTTAGAAACACAAAATCTAGCTGCATGCAGACCATTGCTGTAGATGAATTGTAAAAAATACTCCAGAAGGTCTTCAACGTATACATTGCAATATATGTAGCATTTGAACAATATTTTTCTTATATGACAAAGAGCTTCTAACTCTTAGAAGAATGGGAAATTTCTTACGGACATACAATTTATTTTATTCAAGGTTTTCTTTTAACAAATGATATACATTTAGCTGATTATTTTTATGGATCATGTACTAAATAAATACCTGAAATAATGCATAAAGGGGTAGCTGCGTATTCTTTCACCAGTAAAGTTTGACAAACGCAAAATGACAGTATTCAGTGTAGCAATACCACATGACCTGAACGTCATTTTCGGCATCATTTCCAAGACAACTATTGCTCGATTCGAAAAGAAAAATAGCCGTAAGCATTTTATTCATGTACCAATTTCTTTGGGATATGCATCATTCTTCGGAGAAAAATATAAGCTTGCCATAGAATAGTGTTTCTCCTTCAGTATATAAGCCGTTTTATCGAACATTTTCTATAATGTATAGGAGCGGACTTCAGTTGCAAGCTATTTCGTTTTCTTCAATTATCTGATCTACGCAATGATTTAAAAGTTAAGTTTTCATCAACCGGGAGTATGGAAGGCAAAATCCAACATAAATATGTTTATATTGCAATTATTTGTGGCCTAAATCTGACCTTTTTCTTCAATTGTCAGTTATGACTAAAAATTCGGTCTACAGTTTAAAGAAGTTTTCAGAATTGAGCAACTTGAATTCCGTTCTCTTTTTATAATAATGACTATTACTATAGACAATTCTGTTATTTGAGAAACGACTTATGCCTTGCCATTGTAATAACGCAGGCACTTTAGTTACGTCATGTCCTTTTAACGATGTCGTCAAATGTTCTAACAATTAAAACAATAAATTGGGGTGATGTTCTCACTGTTCTAAAACATACTATTGCAAAAATTTATGCCAAAGATTTAAAAAGTGATCATTTAGTGGATTAGTTTTATACTCAAATATGTATAACTTTTTTGCCCTTTTTTATTTTGTTTTTATTTTCTTCTTCCTCCTTGTATACTTTCATTGTACTTTTACTATTAAGATTTCCCCAACTGCTCTACTATCATTCAATTTGGATTTGTATATGACTTATTATTATTTAGATAATCATATTGCAGAGAAGAACCATTTGCTGCTGATGTTGTAAGAACTACTGATTCAATCCTTTTGCTACTTCACTGTTAATATTATTATAATGTACTGTTATAAATGTGTACAAAATGAGCAATAGAATATGTTTAAATTAAAAATATGTATGTCTGTAAAATGAAATGGATTTGAAGCTTTATATTGTTTTGTTGTTGTCCCAGATTTTTATGTTAAACAATATTTTATTTACTATACGATGTATATTCATTAGCGCATGAACACATGATTTTTATCGCTGCGCTATATGTGATTTTGAAAGTCTTAAAATTGGTGTCTGTATTTGTAAAGAAATACATTTGCTCTTTCATCATTGATCTTTCACACTCAGTTTGTGAAAAAATCAATTAACTTCATTAAGAAATACCACTTTCTAGTACAACAATCTTTCATGTCAAATCACGAAGACTTAGTTCTGTACACAAATTTATATTTTTGGGTACATTTTTAACAGTGCAGTTTTAAAAAGTATCTTTTTACCCTATGCAGTAAAATGTTTTTTTTATTCTATTTCAAAATGGCTATTTTTATAAGAAATATCTGTGCTCTAATTGAGAGAAAGAGTTAAAATATGAAAGAAATGATGTTATGTAAATCTTTACTTTAAAAGTGATAGACTGAAAGAATAACATCTAGCTTTACTACTCTCACGTTGAAGCCTAACACTTTTCGAGACATACAAATGGCAGTATTAATATAGCTCTTCGATTTCTTCTATAATAAGATTCTTTTTCGCAATAAGGGCACATGTATTTCTCATTGATTTCAGCCATTCTAAGTAGAATAGAACCTATTTTACTGCAAAGGGTATGAAGACTATGTTCTAGGGGGGAGGGAACGGTAGATTGTTTTTTCCAGTTTTTTTCATGAACAGACTCGGTCAAACCGAGGCTACAATATTTTCAATCGTGTGCGTTCTTTTGGGATTCTGTTTTTTTTCCTCTCTTTTGACGTCAACGATTGATATTGCTTCATGACACTCATAGATATTTCACGATCATTACTGTGAAAGAGCAATGATTAAAGAACAAATAAATTGCTTTACAAATACAGACAGCAATTTTACGACTTTTGAAATAACTCATAGCGCAGCGAGCAAGAACCATTTGTGTATGCATTATTTAATATACATTACATCGTATAATAAAAATGTTGTTCTTGATTAACAAAACTATAAAAAGAGAACGAAATTTACGGCATGTTGCTTCGCATTTGCAAGCAATTCTAAAAACTGCATTAAACTGTAGACTTGGAACTGATGCCATACATTAAAGTTATACATACTGGTGTATATAAATTACTTCACTAAATAATATTTTTTTAAATCTTTGGCATTTTATGTGCATGATTTTATTATTGAGAACCAAATTTTTCCGCTTAAAATGTTTCTGTTATCATATTCTAAAAAGTTTAAAGAAACTCTATGCAACAGTTTTGATTCCTCCTATATGAAAACTCCCCAAAACGACCTTAAAAAGCAAAAATGGTTGGGATACCGGGCAAACAAAATCCTTTTAGGGTGCATTCCTAGGAAAACAAACAAAAACAGCAAATGGAACTAACTATATAAATTTTTGCAACAGTATGTTTAAGAACAGTGAGTACATTTGCACCACCCCGCCATTTATTGTTTTCATTGTTAGACCAATTGATGACATCGTTTAATAAAGGACATGACGTAACTAAAGTGCCTGCGTTATTACAATGGCAAGGCATAAGTCGTTTCTCAAATAACAGACTTTTCTATAAGAATAGTCATTATTATAGAAAGAGAACGGAATTAACGTTTCTTCGCTTTTGCAACCAATTCTGAAAACTGCTTTAAACTGTAGTCCGAATTTTTGGCTTGGAACTGGTGCCATAATTGACAATTGAAGAAAAAGGTCAGATTTACACCACAAATAATTACAATATAAACATATTTATGTTGGATTTTGCCTTCCATACTCCCGGTCGATGAAAACTTGACTTTTAAATCATTGCGTAGATCAGAAAATAGACTAGAAAACGAAATAGCTTGCAACTGAAGTCCGCTCCTATACAAAAAACTTTCAAGGTTATATAAAGTGTTTGATAAAACGGATTATATATTAAAGGAGAAACACTATTCTATGGCAAGCTTATATTTTTTTCCGAAGAATGATGCATATCCCAAAGAAATTGGTACATAAATAAAATAATTACGGTTATTTTTCTTTTCGAATCGAGCAATATTTGTCTTGGAAATGATGCCGAAAATGACGTTCAGGTCATGTGGTATTGCTACACTGGTATTGGTGACACTTAAACCAAAACAAACAAAAAGAAAACAACAAGTAATGTATCTAAATTCTAAGGAAAGGAGAATTCTTATTTGTCTCTTACAGCCTATTATCATTGCCGATATCCAATCACTAGTAAACATTTTTGCCACAGTCTCGTTTTAGCGACCTCTGAAACAGGAAGAAAATTAATAAAGTAGATAGGAAAACCAGCTTACAGTTGATAGACTATTCGCGAAACATGTTTCTAGTAAGTTTAGCAGTGGCGCATTTTATTTGTTCTCTGAGAGGATTAGCCTTTGGAAGTAAGTGGTTTGTTTAATGTTCAAATTTTACAAACTTCTTAAAGATAATAATTTTTTTTTAATATTTGTAGAATTTGATGTGGCGTTTTTAAAGTATGAAATAAATGTCGTTTTTGAGTTAAATAAAACTAATTTAGATGGCGGTATTCTTCTTTTATTAATGTTGCTGTTTGTTTTTAATTAGTTGTGTATAGAAATAATAGAATTATAGAATTATTTAGCAAATGGGTCTAAAAGAGAATCAGTCTCTTGTGTAAGATAGTGTCAGCTTACAAAAGCTAATGTTGCATTTTCTTAATAAAGTCTTTTCGCAATAAACAAAAACAAATCATGATGATAAATATATTTCACAAAATACTTATAATTGATGAATAAGTTTTTTATTAAAAATATTTCACTTTTACTCTAAATTAATGTCTGGTTGTATTATACTACTATTATGTGTATTTAATTTGATTAAAAGACTAATTTTATCAATAATTATAAAAAAAATAATAAAAAGATAGAGAAAAACGAAATTCGTAAAGAACGCCTGACAATGTTGCTAGGTCGGTTTGATTGCGTCAGTTCATGAACTGTGATGATAAATGCAATGTACCATGCATCCACGTCCCCTGGCATCCGGTTAAACAGAATTCAACATTTAAATATGAGATGGTGAAATATAGAAATTTAAAAACATCCGCAGATAAGCCAACTTAATCTTAATTTAGAAGCTAACTTCATCTTAAAGTCATACATTCAAGCTAACTGTGATTTTTTGAGAATTAACGTGAACAATGTTAAATGACTGTCTACGTTATGTAAGATATATTACAGAAATTACTTTATCGTCATCTAGGCTTGAAAACGTGTATGGTGTACGTAATATCACTTTATTGTCGCCAGATAAGACCAGCGCACATTTTTTTGTGTGTAGTCTGTACTGTTACCAGAATAGAATCATGTGTATAGTCTGATCTTACTTAAAACTGTTGGTGCTTGATTTGAATTGTTTGACATCAAAATACCTTAGATTAACAATGGAAATATCAAATTTGAACTCATAGTATTGCCAGATAATTTATTTGCTGCGTAAATAAAAGACATTTTTTAAAGCAATATATAGTGTGTTAATAAAATATTGCTACGAAAGAGGAAATTAAATTTCATCTCTTAAATTCTTTGTTTGTATCTTCAATTTGTTTTCTATATTTTTTTAAATTATACTTCCAAGGATGGCAGAAATAAATCAAATTCTAGAACGATTCTTCAAATGTTTAGGAATATTTTTGATAAAGTGTATGGTTTTAAATTACTGGGATATTACTGTTTCCATCTCAAATGGATCTTTGGAACTAAAGCGCTCATGACGGTTGAGTTACATATATTGAATAAGAAATAAAACTCCCATTTTTATTAAAATAATTTGAAACTTACGATCAAATTGAAGTTTTTTCCCCAGCTGATGATAAAACAGTTGAACAGGCCTTGGATTATGTGTTCCAGTTACAGGCGAGTAATTGTGGTGACTTAGTAATTGGCGATGTTCTACCCCTTCAGTTTGATGTCACCGCCTGGGATCAATACGCGGATCCTGCAATTAGGTATCATGCAAATATCTTACATTTTGTCGTTACGATATCTTGCTTGTATTATCTTGTTTTGTTACAGTTGTTAAGAGTGGTAATTGATCGCAAGTAATATCTCATGATAACAAGTGTTGGAATCAGAAGATGACATTTTATCAAGTGTTTATACAGTCATATACATGTTATATACATTAACACACAATTAACTTATTGATTTATTCTTTGAACAGGTGATACCACCGTCACATCTATAAAATGCTAGCATGTATATTATACTACCACTTTAATTCGAGGCCATGCATTTAAGACGCCGAAAATACTCGGGCAATTGAATGACTCAAAAAAATCTTTTTTTGTAGGATTTCTAGAAATATACACTTTAGAATCCATGCGTTTTACTGTTAAATATATCATATTACACAACTTAAACTGAACATATTTATATGTCAATCATCTGGACAATGTATTCATTTATTTGTATTAGAATTCCGAAGTAATGAATGAGTTCGTCCTTCCGTAAAATTCACCTTATATTTACAGAACAGCCAATTTGCTTACTGAAATAATTGTATCAAACAACGGAACGCTGGATTCACTGTCAGACGAAATGTTCTTTCTGATGGTAAGGAACAATGTTCATGGAAACTCTCTTATCTTCGGGGCTGCACTTGCATTTGAAAGAGGTGTTTTCAGGTAATGTAATATAACTTACAATACTATTTTTGTAAAATAATCGGCAAATTCTCGCTAAAATTCAGGTAGAGAAAGGTTTTATTTATTACCTCTAATGACTCTTTTTAAAGGAATTCAATTGAGGTCAAAAAGCCTTATACATAAAATTTGAATTTCTTACATAGATAGGCTGGGGCACTTAAAACAGGAAAATATGCAAAAGATAATTAAGAAATAATCTCAGAAGTAAAGTGAAAATTGTATTTTTTGGTGCTATTCAGAGCCCCATTGACTGAAAAGCTTTTCAATTTTAGGTCATTTTTCACAATTAGAATAACGGAGTGAGCGAATTATGTAAACTTCTGCATACAAGTGATTGGTCCAGACCATTCAATAAATTTAACTCGAAAAATTATTTCCAGACTAAAGTGTCAAAAATCTCAGTGGAGTCCTTTTGAAATGCTTACATTAGTTAGCATGCTACTATAAAACAAACTTGTGATGCTAAACATAACACACGATGTAAATTTTATTTAGCTGGACAACCTATTTAGAAGCGTTAGGCCTTTAGTTATCATAGAGATTTTGAATTTCGCATACCATTTCATTTTCGTATTTCAGGGTCATTTCGACATGATTTTAATAGACCTGCTGTGAATCTGTAAAAATTAAGTACGTACCGTTATAGCAGCAAAACCTCGATTGTACTCTATAAACTATAAAGCAAATTTATTGTTGAAGTAAAAAAATTCAATATTAAAAAGGTATCTAGTAACATTGTCTAACGGTATAGAAGTTTCTATTACATTAAATTTATAAAGCTCAAATAGCTATAAGTTATGTTGAAACATTATAAGCGGAATATTTATGGTTATCAAAATACAGTACAAGTTGACACCAAAAACATTAGATCATTTTGAAAATATCTTTTTGTAAATGGAGAATAACATATCACTGTTTTATGTCAATTTTATCAGGCGAGGAAGATATGAGCTACAAAATGGCGATGCTTGAATCAAATAAATTTCACAGCACTTTTTTTCCTTAAATTGTCAATTTCAAAAGTTCACCATAATTTCAGTTTCAATAGAATATTCAAATAGGCAATCAAAAACAAAGCTTCACAAAGACTTGTTTTCCAATCCACGAAATATATCAGTGTGATTGTAGATGCTTACTGTATATATTTATGATGTAAAAATAGAAATGAAATATTGATGAAACTAAGCTACGCAAACATGCGTCTTTTTTTCTGAACGAAACTATTTGATCACTTATTTAATAAAAATCTGGCGGAAAAAAGTAAACATTTACAAATTATCCAAGAAAATCGTCTAGCCTGTTTGGTATGTTTATAATATGACATGTATATCAATTATGCCATTTGCAAAATAAATTATGACGTAACTATTCGCTATTTAATTTTTGCTTAGTTTAAAAAAAAACAACAAATTCCACAACTTTTTAACTGGAAAGGAAATACATGTCGATTTAAAGAGTTTTCCAAAATACATTGCATCAGAGCAGGGGAGACTTATGCCCTAAGAAGAACTGTCCTTCCATTTATCCTTTTTCGGATGCTATTTCCATAGGCATAAACGTAAGATACAGGTCATTGTTTTTTTTAAAGGAAACTTAAATATTGTAACTAACTGCTAATGTGCAGGCGACACCTATCAGGCGGTCATGAATCACATCATAAGGAACCAAAACATTTTGAGTACAGTTAGTCTATCAAATCAATAATCCAATTATCATAATACAGTAAAAATAACGGATTAAAAAAAAATATTTTGTTGAGGTTGCATGTTGGATTTGAAGTGACAAATACCACAATAACATTCTCCTTACTATGAAATATATTCTATTGTTTTGACCATCATATACAATTACGTCTTCTGCTCTGCATGTACTACATTATTCAGACAAAAACTACACCATTCATCAAACGTACACGCGTTATTTGTCACTTTCATCCGCAATAATATTATTCTATTTCGAACCTTTTAACCTCCCTATAGAAAGTATCGTACCGCTATACGTTAATTCCCCTGTTATCGAAGTAAGGTAATTGTCGTTTTTAATAATCACAAAAATGTACATACTGAGTGCATGGAAGAAGACGTTTCATTATCCTACATTATTCTCTTTTCATGTTTAATTCATGTAGAAATTAGCGGGTTATCAGGTTGACATTTTTTATATTTATATATATAAAAGCCCAGTTCCGGAAATACATTACTAAAGAAATCAGAAACCACGCTGTCTATTAGGTCTTTCAATAATTAAAAAAGAGATAGCAAATTCTGAGATGTAAGACTTTCAGTTATTGAAGTTCATTTGTACTGATGGGGTATTAAAACCACTGACAGTTTCAAAATGAGGCGATTTTCCATTAACCTTCTCAACAATATGAAATACTTTGGAAAGTGATGGTTATATTTGCATTTTATCATTTTAAAATCTTCTTTTCCTATTTGACTGCTTTAGGAACACACGTTCATTTGGACTGATCAACAGATCAAACAAATAAGTGACATATAAACAAATGAATAGGTTGATATTCCGCTTGTTTCAAGTACGTCCAGTGCTTTGATAGTATTATATAAAGACAATGGTTTCCTTGCAGCAAATACGAGTTGTTTGCACCGTATGCCTACAAGAGCAACAACACCGTACGATCTCACGACCTCTCCGTCAATTACTTTTACCTTGACCCTGATAGAGAATGGTACAATAGTGTCAAGGTCAAAGACAAGTCAAATATCACCATGGCAAGAGACGGTGTTCAGTATAGGTGTGTATATGCTTGTCTTTAAAATTTTAGAGGCAAAACAAGCGGTCTCTATGTTTAAACAAATTTAGATCTTAGAAAATGATGTGGAAAACATATTGTGATAACTTAATATGTTTACATTTAAATACATGTATTGTTATTTTACATTCTGTATACATGGCCACAATTTTATCAGAAAAATAAAATATGCATGCACTGAAATTATCGCTCATTACCATAAATCAAAATAATATGTAATAAAGCAATGTTGTATCATTATTATATCAAGGGAAAATAACAGTTTACTACCAGAACAGGAAGAAATATATCCCGTGGCCTCTCTGGCTGACGGTCACTGGACAAATCCTTACTATGACTGTGGTGGTGGGGAAATATGGATGGTTACTTACTCAGCACCTATCTTAAACCTTAAAGATGGAAAACCTGTTTTTCAGTAAGAATCCACTATATAACTTTGTATATAACTTTATGAACATTTAGTTCAATCAATAGATTAATGAACATTATTATATAGTCTTCACAGTCATGGTGTTTCTAAAGGTAAGTTCTTCAAATGCTTTTATCAATAAGTACTAAATATTTCCGTTTTTTATTTATTTCCTTGTACATTCATACAACTTAATGTAAAATATTTTGTTTTATTTTTACTAATGTTACTATATGTAATGTTCCTCAAATGAAAACCGCCTCCGTGGTCGAGGGGTTAGAGTCGATGACTTCTTATCCAGTTACCTCTCTGGCGTGGGTTCGATCCCCTGGAGATGCTTTGGTAGTTTAGCGCGGAGGATGGTATTCTAGTACTGGTGTAACTCTCCAGGAACGATGGTTAGGAAACTACCCGCCTATATGACTGAAATACTGTTGAAAAAGGCGTAAAATGAAACAAACAAACAAACAAATCCTCAAATGAAAACCAGAAACAAAGAGACAAACAGACTAATTGTTAACATGTTTGAATCAACTAGAAGAGGAAAGTAAGCCAGTAGTTACGTGGCGCCCTTTCTATACAGTGAACTAGGTATATACTATAGCATACAAACAATGCAATTACTAAAACAAATAATATCTTTTTTCCTTCTCTAAATTGAAATCATGCGAGATGTCTGGGTAACATGCAATTAGAAAAGTTGTAAGTTCTGTTAACAAATACATGGTTATAAACGAGATTAAATCACTAGCTTCTGTGAATGAACCTGTGGTAAGGTTAATCAGCATTTGATTGCGAGGCCATCTTGTTGAAAATCTCCAGCAAGTGTGATTGTACTAAGAATAATATAAAGATAAGTATAGGTTATAGGTTATATACAGAGTTTATGAAATTAATTTTCGAGCGAACGAAGTGATAACCTAAAACCGACTTACAGTTAGCCCCGCCCATTCAAATCAATCCAATTCATACTACCGGAGGACAAATGAACTCGGAACCGGAGGACAAATGAAAAAAAAACAGTTATTGTAAAAATGAAGAGGATCAACTTTTCCATACATCTGAAAGTTTCAAATGCATGAAATACACCTTCGGCTTTGCTTATCAACTCATATCCATTTAATCATATACGAACATTCAAGTGACACATGTTTCTCATAAAAAATGCCAAATTCTTACGATATGTTACTCTTTGTTGATATGGAAAATTATTATATTACAACATCACAACAGTTATTGGTTTTATATGGCTATTGTGCCCTTATGCAATATGTTAAACATTGATTTACAAATCAGTTTGGTCTAAATGGTTCGCTTAGAATCTCAGTTTTTTTTTAATTTCTTTCATTGCCTCTGTTAGCAATATATCTATTAATATCTGTTCTGTCTCACTATTGATATATCCATGAATCTATAACAGCTTTATTAGTTTTAGATATTATTGGAATCCAACCAATATCCTACGTTTAAGAAAAAGAGAAAACAATTTTCTTTTTTTTTCAATGAAATAAAATTTAATAAGGACCTCTACAATATTTGAATTATCATCATCAGTGTTATAGGGTTTAGCAAATGCTTCTGTAATCTTTTATCAACTACTTAATAATGATTATTCCAAATATCTGGTTTATTGTTTTCAGCATCAAGTGTCATTTCATTTTGGAGTTGCATCAAATATTGAGGTTAAATTTGTAAATTATTGTATCAAATTTTCGTCTTTCAGCAACAAAAGTATTCTGAAAATGCTTCTTTGAGAACATTTTCCCGAACCTAATTTCCCGAACTACACATATTCTTTCAGAGCAAATATAATCGGCCATTCCACCAGACTTATGTATATTACATGTACATACATGTATATATTTGTACGCTTATAACGTATATATGCTAAATAGAATCCAGCTCATACTGAATAATGTACAATAATTTCATGTACAGAGGTGTGGCTACAATAGACATAGAACTAACGTATATTGATATAAATCAATGTGACAGTGATGAATCTATGTCAACTTCGGGACTGGATGTTTTCCGTGGAACACACAAATGTCAGCCAACAACTACGGTACCAATACTTCTGTATATTTCTTGATATAAAAGATATTTGTGAAGGTTTTAGTTCTGCTGTGGTTATTTTATATTTTATTCATTTATATATTCATTTCAATATTCTTTATGTTACCAATTTCCATAATGTTAAGTTCTGATGAGGGCGTAAACGGCAATTTGAATTACCATTACTGGCCATGAACAGGCTAAATCAAACTGAGTCTGCAGCATTTTCAATTTTCCAATCTCTGCGTTCCTTATGTTAGGTTTCCATTTTTCATATTATTCATATCTAAATAAATTTAGAAGTCCATGGTAGAAATGATTATATTATTATTTTATCAAACTCCCTTTAATACCTCATAGTATTTAATGAATTGAAGATGAAATGTATAATATTTTGAAAACATTAACATTTGATCAACAAGGTATTTACAGGACTCAAAAGATAAAGAAAAATGTGCATAGGATACTAGCTATGTCTTAAAATATGAAGAAGGAGTAAATTAAAACATGTCATACTTTAATAAGTGTATTATTTTATTATGTATTTGCAATGTATCTTCTTAAAGATAAATTATAAACGATATGTGAATATATGTAAGCATTTTCCGACAGTGTGTTCCCGAGAAAGGAATGGGATTCGTACCAGGTGCTTATAAATGTGTGTGCAAAGATGGATATTTCTTCCCGAGGGTACATTCTGAAGTCCGTGCTTATACAGGAGTGGAAATTGAGAATTGGACAAGAAATTCCAATGATTCTTTGGGCGTTGGAATGTTCCGATGCTCTAAGTGTGCAGCCGGATGTGACACTTGCGTTGACGACTCGCCATGTTTACATCAACGAAGCAACGCTGTAGTTATTTCACTGTTGATTTTTAACTTACTAACTGTAGCAGGAATCATTGGAATAGCTGTTTCAACATATCTATACAGACATGAAATGGTAAAAGTTAATATATATATGTAAATACACTATAACTTTCATAGAAAGTTGGTGAATTTAACACATAAGAGAAATCCATATTATTCCATTAAGGGCATAAATTTAGAGAAAATACTGTTGTTATGCTGTTGTTTTTTTTTTCACAAAAGTATTCAACGAAATATTGATACATGGTTTATATATCAAAAACACTTTATTTCAAGTCAAAGAGATTTAGATGAATAAAACCAACACGGTACAAAAATGCTATTTAATAAAGGCAAAGATGAGTGAACATAAAGAAATAATTAAAACAATCTACAATAAAATTAGAGAATTGAGGCAGTAAAATCAAACCGAGTCTGAAACATTTTCAATTTTGTCGTTTAGGGCTTTCTTAAGGGATTCATATTTTCTCTATTTTTTTACACCAGTTCTTTGGGCGAAGACGGCAGCTCTCACTTATTACTGCAAACCACGAACAGGCACAATCAAATTGAGCCGGAAACATTTTCAAGTTTGCCGTTTTGGTCGTTTTTAGGGACTCCGTTTTTTATTGTATAATTAGTTTCTTTCTGCTATTCTGAACCTTTTTGAACTAATAATACATGAACAGAAACTTAATTGGCTTATCATTATCTGATACTACAAGTACAAAATTATATACATCAAATGATAAAAATATTAAGAAAGCCGCTTAAGTTACTATTTTAAGCATATTTATCTTCCTTCAAGGTAATGAAGTCAGCAAGTCCAATATTCCTTGAGCTTATGTGTCTTGGCGGAGTGTTAATTTGTACTCAGGTACGTAAAAGATACTGCCTTTACTTTTAATTAGACTATCGTTTTGGTACATATTTGATGATAACTTACAAACTTTATCCATAGAAATCGATATGTGTTCCTGATTGCAACCATTTTTGTATTTCAGTTTTTCATGCATTATCCCACGGCTTCAATCACAACATGTAGTATCCGTATTTGGCCACAGAACATTGGCTTCTTTGTCATGTATGGATCTCTAGTTCTAAAGACATGGAGGTAAGCACCTTAAAAAATTTAAACTACATTATTTTTCCCTTTTTTTTTTGAGTGAAAATTTCTAAAAAAGAAAAATTTTCCCTTTCCCCTAAAAAATTTCTATAAAACTATTTAGACTGAGTATGGGGGGTATGTAAACAGAAAAAAAACATGTATAAAAGATAAAAAAAAAAACAAACATAACAGAAACCCTAAAGAACGACCAAAACGGCAAAATTGAAATTGTTGCACGTTCGTTTCATGGAGACAATTATCTTTAGCATATTTATTTGGAAAGTCCCTTATAAGCTAATTATCGAATCGATTACTTCGTCTCATTTGTACTGTCGGATAGCGTGACATAGTCACTGTGAGAAGTAGACCAGAATGTAGAATACGATCTCACTCGGACATATTAACCCCCTTAAGGTGTAAGAATTAAGAATAAATAGCTCTTTCAAATTTGAAATTCGTAGACCGTTGACAATGATAAGACACAATTGCTATAAGTTGCTTTTTTCTTCAGAATTTCTATGATATTCAGTGTTGGTACACATAAACGTGTTCGACTGCCGGATAGAGTCCTTTTGCAAAGACTTGGTTTACTCCTTCTATTGGTGATCGCCGTACTGAGTGCATGGACAACTAGCCAACCACCGAAAATCGAAACATTGAAAACGAAAGGAGACTTGAAGTTTTACATTTGTGACTTTGGTCCTTGGCAGTATGCACTGCAAGGAGGTACATTGATTATGTTACACATGTTTCAGTTGTCCAGGAAATGTTTGGACTAATGTTTATATATTCCATGAAATAGTATCCATATGTAGGTAAAAATAGAATATAAAAAGCTTCACTGTTAAACTGCCCATTTAGATTATTTCCAATTAAATATAAATCCGAAATCTTGGGATACATGTATTCCTAAAATTTTACAAAGAAAAAAAAACGCCTTGTCAAATAATCTATCAATTTCAGGAGAAATATTATTTCTGTTATACGGTGTCTACCTGTGTTTTACTGTACGGAAAGCTCCTGCTCATTTCAACGAAAGCAAACACATCACCTGGGCAGTGTACAATGCCATTATATTGGGAAATTTCATGTCATTTATGTCGTAAGTTTCTCCTTTAACACATTACCGGAGACGTGTACAATGTCTTTATCTCGGGAATTTTCATGTCATTTTATATGTCATTTAATTTTTTAAACATATTACGTGAAGTTTCATGTCATTAATAATGTCGTAAGGTTTTTTAGTCTGACTCATTGATATTGCAATTATACACAATTCACGTTTAAAATTAGCAATAACTTTCTGATTGATATATTGTTTATAGTAAAGCTTATGAATTCTTACAAGTTAAAAAGTAAATCAATATCTCATTTAAATTGCAGCCGTTTATTTATCTCTGTTATTGGTCCTGACTACATGTTAGTGTTCCAGTTTGCTCAAATTCAGGTGTACGCTACATTTACGCTTCTCATTATTTTTGGACCAAAGGTTTGTTAAATTTTCATCTGTTAAATTTACATTTCATGTATTGCCTTATAGTGTATCCTTAAGTTCTAATCACAGTTCTTTTCTATCGACATCATTTGTCCTTAAACGTATGAGACATACAAGTTTCGGACTAAGCAGAAACATATTTTGCAAAACAATGTAAACTCTGCATGTTAGGTTATTATACAAATTCACAAACATCAATTTCAGCCAGTATAATGTACTGTTATTATAGAAGATCTTTGATTAGAGAGAACATGAAAACCTTTTAATTAAGGTCAATTTCTAGAGCCAGATGTCTTTGTTTATAAAATCCCCTGCGCCATATAAATTGTAACATACACTAGAAATTCAATCACCATATACACAGATATTTCCGGGAAATCAAATTAATACAGATTAAAAACGTTCTATTATTCAACATTAAAGCTTTCAACATTGAAGCATAAGCAGGAAAAAACTGAGTTTCTCATCCCAACTGATCTATTTCCTATTCTTCAAATATACGTTTTTTTGTGTTTATTTGCTTAATGGTTGCGCAAAACAACTGTTTGTATATTCTGTTTGCTTTCAATTTTATGAAATTTTATTGAGTATTCCTAACCATCATATTTTGAATTTGAAATCAACGAATTTCATATTTTCATCATCAGTTCTTATTGAATTAACATAATTCGTAGGGTTATAATTTCAACATTAATTCCAGGCGTGGGCAATAAAGAAGAAGATTGAGATAGAACCGGTCAATCCAGCTCTAACTACTCACAATACCGTACAAACTATCACTGGAAGAGTTAAAAACAACCAAGTAGCTGCATTACCAACAATTATAAAAGCTCATGCAGCAACACAAACTAATTAAATCATTATAGATAACAAGATAAAAGAAAATGCCGCTCTTGGTCTAGATCAGATCAGAAATAAAATAGAAATTAAAACGATGACAAAACAATTATACGTACTGAATATTTGCATAAGCGTTCTCCACAAATGAAATAAAGTAAAGGTTACTGGATAAATATCTTACCTCTGTTATTATAGTGTTGGCCGTTTATTTTGTTTAACTCTGAATTAACTTCAGTTTGACTTTTGGTAAAGTACTTAATAAACAAATGACGTTTAACAATATCATCAGTATGCATTTTAATTGTTTGAAAGACATGTGTATGCACAGATCCCTGTGACCTGTCTTATTCTAATTATCAGTACAGTTGATATAATTAAGATTTCAGCACAACATTTTGTTAACAAAAGAGCACATGTCCATCTTTGTGGTTAAATGTGTAGTTATTCAAATAAAAGGTCAGAGTAGGGATCTATCAATTTTAAGGGAGATTAATCTTAATACTTAAAATTTGAAGGGGAAACGGCTTTATTTTTCATTTTATTAAATCCTTTCCCTATTAAAAATTGACAATTTAGCATCCTTTAAGGGGCTTCCAAAAAATGCCGACAGAATTAAAAACTTTTTTTAAATTGTAAAAAATTGTAGAGAAAAAATAAAGTGAAAGCCGCGGAAAAAAAAATTGAAAAAAATGCCAAAAAGTTGGAAAACAAAATAAATGAATTTTTAAACCTCGTTTGAATGGGCTTTTTTTGAAAATAATTAAAAAGGGAACATCTTCCCCCCCCTGGGGGACCGCCAAGCATTATAAATCTCCAACACTTACGTACTGGGATCAATGATCCTGGAATGTTCACGGAATACCAGAAAAATATAGCAACACTGATTTATATAGTAGCGGGCACTTTTTACAACTGTCACATATATATGATTATAAAAGAAATGTTTTATAATCAGATTGAATGATTTGCTTGTTTATACGGATAAGGAGATATATAAAGGAATAAGTAATCATTGACATTTGTTTAGATTAGATGTTGCTATCATTAGCAGTACTAAAACAGTAATATCCGAACAAATTACATTGTTATGAGAATTAATAAATAATCGTACACTAGAACTGATGTATTAAAACACATATCAAACGAAAATTAATTTGAGTTCATAGCGTATGATGTGGGTTAAAGAGGACAAAAATATTCTAAATACAAGAATTTATCTTTTATTATCTTTTATTTATCCGGTTTAATCTACCGTCAATTCATTAGTTTTTGATGTGGTTTAGTGATATATAAAATAACTGTAACATAGGCGTAATGACCATTGATTAAACCAGCTAGCAGACAAATCTTCGTTATTAAAAATATGTACATGTATTATATATGCTCCTTTATGAAAAATTGATACTATAGATTTATTTGTATGATGAAGTAACATAAACTTTGAAGTTCATGATATTTTGATATATCTACGAATTACAAACCATTCATACTATCCACCATGTCCATTCATTTTCCTTTTGTGATAGTAATATGACAAATATCGATAGGAGATTTCGATTCAATACAATAATATGAAATTAAATAATATTCGTCGATCATTAAACCTGGCGCCTTCCACCAAAATCCAATGAAAAAAAGTATGTATAATATTGATTGTTTCATACATTATTATACACGTATATACAAACATACTAATTCATCGTTATTCGATGAATGTTCAAGTATAAATGTATCTAAGGATGTAAACTGTATCCTCGATAGATTTCAATGCAATCTATTTTGGTCCCTCTGAGTATACACCTCAAACAGGTACGCGCAATTCAGTTTTCTGCTCTAAATAGGGAAAAACAGAATCCCTAAAGAACGTGTCCAAAACAACAAAATTGAAAATTACGAGGCTCGGTTTGATTGAGCCTGATCATGAACGTTACTGAAAAGTGTCAGTTATCGTCCACGACCCCTAGCACCGGCTTAAGCAGAATTCAACATTTAAACATGAAATGGTAAAATTATGAATTTAGGAAACATCCGCAGATGTGCTCATACAATGGGCGAAACTAAAGAAAATGGAATTTAGAAAGAGGATCAGAGGTTATGAAGCCTGCATATCACAGACATGACAACAAAAGACAAATTAAAAATGCAGGCAACATATCCTGAGGGTGATTATACAGTATTCAAGATGGAATACTAAAACCACCCAAATTGAAAAGGTCAAATAGAAGAAACTTAAAAGACCAACAACATGTACTAACAAAATTAATGTTGTGCTGAACGATCTTTAAGGATCGAAAATATAATATCTTTGATTATATGTACGGGGCCTTTTTACAGGTCTTGAAGCGTATTCATAGGCTGTTCTGTCTGTACCAATACTGCAGAACTGTGTGAGACAAATTTTCGACATGAAATATTCTCATCAAGGAGGTCAGGCAAAAATTAAGGATGAGGGAGTACAGCAATGTAATTGTACATTATTTTAGGGAAGATTGGCCCACTGCTGAGAACCACTCGGAAAGGCTTGGTATGTTTAGAAACAACAGAGGGTTGCATGAGAGCATCCAAAAATATGTCTTAACAGAAACATCAACATGTTGGATGTACTACCAAAGTCTCCAGATATACTTAATTGTGATAGAAAACACGAATAAACCATCGAGTTAGGGCTGATATAGTGTCATAAATAATCACCCAGTTACTAAAGAAGATTGTTTGAGAGTGAGCAAATCTGCCAATACTTGTGTACAACGTTACATCACATTCATGCACCGGTGCAACCGGGCTGTGGCGAAAAAATGCGTATTTAAATAATTATCACTGCAATTAACTATTCTTTTATTCTTTTGCAACATTGAGACTATCCACGCACCATCACATTACTTGGTAATGTGTCGATATGTTAGGAACAGGTTGTAACGTTGATTAAGAATTATGTATTTTTAATTACGGCTATACTAGGCAAATATTTCTATAAGGAACGGTTGCCAAATAGAAGTTGAAGACAATTTGTGATATTTATTTGGTAGGATATATCAGCTCATTTTGTCATTCAAACATATGCAAGCAGTCAATACATCATGAAAAACGTCTTCCCCGTACCTTAAATGTTACTTTTAAGCTATAATTATATGTACATGTACTTGTTTTCTCTCGTTGTGCAATTGTAATAAACAATCTAGTGTTCTTTGTACAGTTTTTTATTAATCTGAAAACTATTTTCATATAAATACGAACAAATAACAAAAATCATCAAATATTTCAACTTACAAATGTAAAAAAGTTGACACAAATTAATGCTTATAATTAATATGCTTTATCGAGAGAGTTCAGAGGATGACAAATAAGAACAAATATCTGGAAAAAGTGATTCCACGGAAGCACCAAAAACAGCAAAATAACATGAAAATTGCAGGCTCGGTTTGATTGAGTCTGTACTTGAGCGATAATGAAAAAGTGCAATATCCCTCACGCCCCCTAGCACCGGCTTGAGCGGTACTCTATTCTCAAGAGTGGTACTCAATTCTCAACACTTCAAAGTAATGGACTCCATGATCCCGAAGGACCAGATAAATAAAACATCACTGAAGTGAAGTATGGGGCAACTTTTTACACTTGACACCATTGACAATTGTAAAATATTCTTACAAATAAAAGCTAATTTTTATTAATTTATTCTTATGTTTACTGTTAATTAATTGTTCCATTTTTGTGACAATAAAAGTATTTCTTAACATTTTAGACATAATCTCTTTGAAAGTATCGCATTCAAGCAAATAAGGAAATTGAGTCACAATAAAGTTTATATTACAGTGAATATTTCTTTCCACACCAAGATGGCAGCCATTTTCTAAAGGGACTTGGTGATTTTGCAATTTTCAACTAACAAAAATAAATTAGGGTTAACGGATTATACATTTAAGTATTCTTCAAAAGTATGTTCTATTTAAAAAATCGGTAATCTTAACATTTAGAAGACGTATCCTTGATTATACCACTTTTGTAAAAATCGGTCATTCGACTTGTTTTAAAAAAATGTTTTAAGATGTAATAAATTGCTAACATTCTGATTAATAAAGTACTCATCAACACCCCAATTTTTCATGGCTTTTAAATAACCTAAAATGGCGTTTCTTGCTAGCTCAACCAATTTGGACTTTGATTAGTTACCATCATATTTGAGAGGAATACCATGATATTGATGTCATTGACAATTTCTAGTTGTTTACTGTTATAATAGTAAAGTTTTGTATTTACATTTTCCATTAAGAAAAAATGACTTCTTTAGAATTATCTTCATTGACTTGCAGTTGACCTGTAGTTAAACATAGCATATAGAGCATACTGCAGGTCAGACAGGCTCCCTGCAAATTTGAATCGTATTATCAGTATAAGCCATAGATATTTCAATTCAATAGTTCAAATGTAGATTTTGAAAATGGGGCAAGACCCTCAAATTTGTATATCAATACAAAACAATACAATACAATACAAAAAATACAATACAATACAATATCTTTATTGCTGCTCAAAATAAAACATTTGTTTACATCTGTACAAAACAGTGTAAAAGTGTTATGGTTTTAGTAAAATATTTAGTCAAATACAGTAATATATCATCAAAATTCAGTGCAATTAAAATAGAGAAAAACAATCTTTAAAGTTTGTCTGGAAGAGAAATTGGAATTTAGAATGAACTTGATACATTTTCAACAGTTTAAACTTATCCGAAACAAAATGTAAAGCAAAAAATGCTAAAATGTATGTACTCGCAAAGTCAAATGTATACATGGAAAAATTTTTAATCAACAATAATCGATTTAATGTAGAATTTAATCATATTGCATCAACAATTTGCTTACAATGTATAAATGAAGTATAAATGTTCCTTTAATTGAAGAAACCGGCACATTGATTTGTATCAATTTTGGTATGTGTTCTGTGAGTTTAACTCTTTTTCATTTAATGGTAAAATTTCATATCCTTTGTTGTCATATTAATATTGGTAGAACCAATTTGTTCAGATCCATCTTGTAGTGCATAAAATATGAATTTAGCTAAATTTAACAATAACGATTCTTCA